GCAGTCGTCCTTCTGTGTCTGCGGGGGAATGGTTTCAGGACAGCCTGCGAATACCAAAATCTGCAAATACTTAAGTCTCCACTTGGCTCTGCTGAGCCTGAGAATATAAAAAGTCAACCTTCCGTGTACGTGGACTTCACGTCTCATGCATGCTGTATTTCTGATCTGCCTTTAGCTGCAGATGTGGAACCCGCCAGTCGGGAGGGCCGACTGTATTTATTTTGAGAATCTGCGTTTAAGTGGACCCGCACAGTTCAAACCAGTGTTGTTCAGGAGTCAGCTGTACCAGCTTTTAGTCATGTTCCTTGGTGCCGCTTAAATAGTAATGAAACAAAAAGAACTGACTGGAAAATATTCGTGATGCTTTTGTGATGAATGGGCCTGTGGGACCCTCACTGCCTTAAGGTTCACTGCTGCTTCTGGTTTTGTTGTTGTTTTGGGTTTTTTGTTTTGCTTTGTTTTTGTCTCTTTCAAAACCAAAAGACACGAATTACCTTGGTTCAAATGATTTGATGGGGAAGATAAAAGATGCCTCCATATGCTTCTTTTTTTTTTTTTTTTTTTTTTTTTTTTTTTTTTGAGACAGAGTCTCACTGTGTTGCCTGGGCTAGAGTGCCGTGGCATCAGCCTAGCTCACAGCAACCTCAAACTCCTGGGCTTAAGCGATCCTCCTGCCTCAGCCTCCTGAGTAGCTGGGACTAAAGGCATGCACCACCATGCCCGGCTAATTTTTTGTATATATTTTTAGTTGTCCAATTAATTTCTTTCTAATTTTAGTAGAGACGGGGTCTTGCTCTTGCTCAGGTTGGTTTCGAACTCCTGAGCTCAAACAATCCGCCCTCCTCGGCCTCCCAGAGAGCTAGGATTACAGGCGTGAGCCACCACGCCCGGCCTCCATATGCTTCTTATGCATATGAAGTTGTTTTAATTACCTATGAGAGATGAACAGCCCTAACCTGTGTACATAACATGAGTGCACTAGTTACATGTTGTGTTTAGGTTTGTGAAGTTGTCTGAATCTGGTGATTAAGATTACAGTAGGGTAAGTAGAGACAGGAAAAGAAGGTCAGAGGATCTAAGGAAAGAAATTTACTTCTAGGAAATGCTACAGATTTAGTGGAAGCAAGAGAGGTTCTCCAGTCTATTTTAGAAGGACAGCTCAGGGTTTGCTGAAATGTACAAAACAGAAACAACTGACTCCCTCTGCATGAAATATGGAGGCATCGTCTACATCTATTGCAGGTATTTATTTCTTTATCATTGAGCAAAGTATTTGCTTGCTATCCAAGACAACTTTCATTCACCTTCCTCTGGACATTGCAGGAATCCTATGGCCTCCTGAGTGGGAAATTTTTATGCTTTTGACCCCAGTGTCAAGACTTTTGAGCAATTGGGATGTATTGACATCTCAGCTTATTTGAAACAATTAATTTTGTTTGCATTATTTGTCTCCCTCAGACATGAACACACCCGTGGATGCCAGAAGCCTATAAGCTTGACGGCATCTGGAAGGCGCAGAGCGGTGGCCTCCGAGGACCAGCTCCTTCACCTTGGCCTTGCCCTTCAGCTCACAGTCCACCATGGAGACGCTCTCCCAGGACTCCTTGCTGGAATGTCAGATCTGTTTCAATTACTACAGCCCCCGGCGAAGGCCCAAGTTGCTGGATTGCAAACACACCTGCTGCTCCGTGTGCCTCCAGCAGATGAGGACGAGCCAGAAGGACGTGAGGTGCCCCTGGTGCCGCGGCGTCACCAAGCTGCCCCCGGGCTTCTCCGTGTCGCAGCTCCCTGACGACCCCGAGGTCCTGGCAGTCATCGCCATTCCGCACACTTCTGAGCACACCCCGGTCTTCATCAAACTTCCCAGCAATGGGTGCTACATGCTGCCCTTGCCCATCTCCAAGGAGCGCGCGCTGCTGCCGGGAGACATGGGCTGCCGCCTGCTGCCTGGGAGCCAGCAGAAGTCTGTTACCGTGGTGACCATCCCTGCCGACCAGCAGCCTCTGCAGGGTGGGGCCGCCCCCGAGGCAGTGGAGGAGGAGCAGGACCGGCGGGGTGTGGTGAAAAGCTCCACCTGGTCTGGGGTGTGCACTGTCATCTTGGTGGCCTGCGTCCTGGTCTTCCTTCTGGGCATCGTGCTCCACAACATGTCTTGCATTTCTAAGCGCTTCACTGTGATATCATGTGGCTGAAGAGGGCCACCGGGAAGTCTCTGGTGGGTGCCAACTTAGGGGTTGAGCAGGTGTTGGTGATGGGATCCCGGGGAGAAGTTGGGGGGCGACACTGACCATTTGATGCCGAGTGCTGGCCTCTGGGTTGCCACTTGATTCACCCCAAGACCGACATGAAGAGCGGAAGGTGAGCTTTCAGCAAGACGCCAGGAGAATTGTTCTGAGTTTTAATGGCAACAGCTTTGAAGATGATTGCATGCATCCTCATAATCATGTATTAAATGGACTGTAATTTATGATTTTTCAAAATCATGTTACGAGATAGACATATTCTACTTAGACGTCAAACTGTACAAGTGCGTACAATGTGATCTTCTCTAAATGTGGTAGATTAAAACAAAGATGCTGTGTATACAAGTAGAATCAAACCTGCGAATCCATGTAAAAATTCAGTGAGGACATATGCAGTGCTGGCTTCTCTACTTTTTTTTTTAAATGAAATCCAGTCTTCATTTAGTTGCTGAGGCTTTTTATACATTTTGAATGGCACCCAAGTCAAAATAAGTTAAGTGGACAATTGTTTTTTAGAGAAAATATTTGAAGAAATGTCTCCAATGTGTTGTGTTTTGTCATGCACCTTCATTTCTCCTCACTCGTAATTAGAGCTCGCTGCGTGTTTATTAAACAGAAAGCCCAACAGGGGAGCAATAAACCGAGAAATAATGAGAAATGCCTAATCCCACAGGAAACCTGTATGCCAATTTTTCTCAAGCCATCTCACAAAATGAGAATTTAAAATGTAAATATTGTGTATTTGTGTGTGTGCGTGTGTGTGTGTGTGTGTGTATGTGTGTCTACTTTGATTTACCTCAGGTTGTTGAGTCTTTCCAGAAGAATCCTAGGATTAAGACATCGTGGGCATGAATGTCATGTATCTGCTATGGTGGCCCTCTCATGGACACCTGAACCCTACGAGTGAGGGGTCCCCTACCTGTTCCCTCCAACACTTGCTCCTCTTCTGTGTATTTAAGTCTTGTATTTTGTAAGACATAAATGGAGGATAATGGAAGAATCTTTCTTTTCTCCCAGTTTTGGAGTATTGGAATGGCCATGAGTGCCATTAATTGATGGCAAACCCGGATGGGCATTTTAATAGATGGTCTGTGATTATTTCTTGGAAGATGTTTTTCCATGTGATTTAAACCAGCTAGAATTCCAGTTTTTCTCTTGTGGAACTATGTGAGAAAATCTCTTGTATTTCAAGATATGTTTTTATTGAGAAAAGTTGTAAGGTAAACTAACAACTCACATTCCCAAAGTAAGTGGACCAGTTCCTCATCAACTGTCAAATATTCTTAAATGTGCAACAGTCTGTAGATGATCATGAAGAAAGATCTGCTAGTATTAAGTGATAAATTCCTATCTCTGGGTGCATGTCATTCAGAAATAGCTGTGAGCTTTACAGTTCTCATTTTCTGGAATTCATGAAACAAGTGCTATGTGACAAGGACTCCACTCAAATATAACTGTTTTTATGTTCCATTGATTCCATGAAAATGGTGGGGAGGGTGAGGGGAGGTGAAGGCAAGACAAATAGTGTTACTGGTTCCAAAAAGCAAGGCTAGAAAGTAGCCCTGTGAGATCGAGACAGTTTCATTTACTTATATGCTAACTGTTATCTTCAAGCAGCACAAAATAGGCATATTAAAATGATGGAATAAATGTGAAATAAAACAAAAATATAGTGGCTAGAATACAAAGCTAACACTGTTAATTGGCATGAGAACTCAATATAAAATTATGAGCTCTGGTTTTTCAAATTTTTCAAATTTGTCAAATAAGACCTTTAGGAAATGTATTTGAAAGCTCAAACTAGAAATTAGGTTAAAATGCCATTTTATTGTGTAAGCTATTGGGCATTATACAACAATAATCTAGGATTTATTTGGTATTAATAATTTAGGTATCATATTAGCTGAATACTATCCTCTATTATGTAACATAATATACTGTTGGGTTAGTGTCAATTTCTCAAACTCTCCCAGGCTGCTGTAATGCATGTCTGACCTAATTTCTATTTCTCTTGGAGGAAAAAAAAAA